AAATTTTACTACTAACAGAGATACAAAAGTGGGCGGTAGGTATAAAAAGGTTGACTACCAGTGATCTAAAGCAAGGGTGTCAAATTTGTGGGGTCACGTTGTCGTCATGTTATGTATCACATCTTCCCACCTTCGCTAAAATGGGGATGGATGTGGCCAGCACATGACATATCCAGGCCATAGGCCTCAGTTTGACACTCCTGGTCTAAAGCAATATTTCTCAAATTTAGAAATTTTAAGGTGGTACCAGTAGAATAGAGGATTAAGGACTTTACAATTTGAATTCCACAAGAAACATGGACTTCCACTCCTAGAATTCCCCAGCCAGCATGGTTGGCTGGAGAATTCCTGAAATTGAAATTACACATCTTAAAGTTCCTAAATTGAAAAACTCCAGTTTAAAAGATGGCAGCTTTTTCCTCTAACCCAGTTCTTTTGTTATGATTATGTGGTACAGTAGGTTTTCTGCAGTCACCTAAAAGCATATCTGTCCTCACATTTACAGTGAAAACAACCATAAAGAGGATTGAAACATTGGGATATGTGGCTTTGACTTTTCTCTGCTGCTATAAAAACAAACCAGACTGAGACTGTGAGAAAAATAGCAGAAAACAAAACAAGCTTAGCACAGAGTACATGTATTACACAGCTAAAATGTTTATTTAAAAATACTGGAGCGAATCATTCCTGTTTGAAAGAAATGTGCTAACTATATCAAATACTCGTAAAGGTTTTCATTTCAAATAAAAGAGAAAAGTGGGGGGAGGAAGCTTTTAAGACGAAATCGTATTTTTGACTTTTGTAATATGAAGCCAAAAATGTGTTTACTTTTGGACAATTATTCCCATCATTATCTTTTCAAAAAGACAAAATGTTCATTACCTTTTGAATAGCAGCAACCTTAATAAAATATTCCTACACTGTGTAGGAATAAGTGACTAAGCCTTACAATTAAGTATTTCATAGCAAAATAGCAGGTTCAATTCTGGCATATCTGCTTGGTATACTGCTTTCCAGCGATTTTCGGGTATGTGGTGCTCATATCCCAGAATTCTATGGCCAGGATGGCTATCAATGAGAATTCTGGGAATTGAAGTCCATACACCTGGAAATTGTTAAGGGAAACATCGGTTTAATGCATGAGAGGAATCTTTTAAATTCATGATATACGTATATTCAACAGCATTACTCGCAGTAATTTCCCTATATTTAGCCTGACTGCTATAAGCATACTTGAGAGGTAAGATATAAATTTAGAAACCCATCATTTTGGATGAGTTGGTTTCATTCCCAGACTATTTTCTAGACAATAACTTAAATCATAAATTCTGATGATTTAACAGCTGTGCCAGCTTGATAAAAAAAACTAGCCATATATGGGATGTCAAACCCTTTTTTGTGAAAGAAAAATCATGTGAGCAAGCTAATTTTATAGAAATTATGAAATATAGTCTCATACTTATCATTTCAGTAGAAGGACCTAAATCATTCATTAAAAAAAAAGAGATTATCTTCTACCATTACAATGAATGGAAGGGGTGGGGAGAGGAAAGATGACCCCAATATTTTCATGTTTGCTTTGGGAACTACAACCATTGCAATGCATTTAAGATTAAAGCCAACAGACAGAAAATGTACACTGAAAAATGTAGAACTTCACATTGCCCAAATCTTTGGAGAAGCTGACATATTACAGTACTAGCCTGATATTTATTTCTTCAATACAACAATAATAATAATCTAAACTGGGTATTTTTAGTCATTGAAGGAATGTTCTTTCTTTCTTTTCCAAATATAGCTATCTAGAGCAGGGGTTTTCTACCCTCACAACTTTAAGACCTGTTAACTTCAACTCCCAGAATTCCCCCGCTAATGAAGCTGGGAATTCTGGGGATTGAAGTCCACAAGTTTTAAAGTTGCCAAGGTGGGAGACCCCTGATCTAGAGCTATATAATTTTTCAGATCATTTTTTTAACCATCAATTATCAGTTTCTGCCTCTCTGAGCTGTACTCACGTTGGCAGTCAGCTGAGTTGTCAGAGCTGAAACTTTCTCTTGCGATGCATCCAACTCCCTCCTTAGCTTGCGAATCTAAACGTTATATTTCAAAACATGGTTCTGTTTAACAAGATCTTCAACACCCACATATATACATACACACAGATATACCCTATATGAATTTTGGACCTCTTTGAAGACACACTGTTGGCACAGTTATAATGAAGCCCAATATTATTGGCTCAACTACTGGAAATAATACCTTTGGCATGATGTCATCAATTTTGTGGAAATTCATTTTGATGGAAGTTCCAGATCTACATTGCTGATCCTCTGGGAAATCAGTTGCAATTCAATTGCTTCGTATATGTTTGATAACCACTGTTATTTATTCTGTTGCTATTTGTTGTTTTCTATTTACTTTACTGACTTGGTTCAGACACAATGATGGACTAAAATGTAGTTATTTGTTTTGGACTAAATGTGATTTGTTATTTATAAAACCACTATTGTTTAAACAATTGATTAAACAAACGATAGTTTTAGCAGTTTGGTCCATTTACTAATTTGAAGACTTGTTTTAACTTTTATGGAGATTTTTTTGTCATTTTGTTAGGTACTTTAAGAGCCGAGATGGCGCAGTGGTTAGAGTGCGGTACTGCAGGCCACTTCAGCTGACTGTTATCTGCAGTTCGGCGGTTCAAATCTCACCGGCTCAAGGTTGACTCAGCCTTCCATCCTTCCGAGGTGGGTAAAATGAAGCGGTATATAAGTCTAATAAATAAATAAATAAATAAAT